CCCCAAAACCCCAAAACCCCAAAACCCCAAAACCCCTTAAAAGCAGGAAAAAATTGAGAATAATAATTAATAAATCATTAAAATGCCAACTTGTGGAAATTACAAGCTAAAGAGAAAGCTAGGTGAAGGAGGATTCGGATCGTAAGTAATTTCAGCCAAGTAACCATGAACAATCTCAGCAGTTAGAGCGATTCTTAGTGTTTAGAAGTCTGTTTTTACAAATCACCCTAATATTCCTGAAGAGATATGGCTGAGCTCATCCTTCACCAAAGCTCCTTTGTAAAGGAAGTCTTACATGGAGGAAGAGATAGCTACAGCAATACTTGCCATGGAGTTGCTCGGATGTTAATGGTTAACTATTCCAAGTTTTCAAATTTCATAATTGTGCGTTGTACAAATAGAATAAACTGACAGTTTTACTTTAGAGTCTACCTTGCCAAACATATTGAAACTTCTAAGAAAGTAGCCTTGAAGATCATCAAGCCAGAGATGATGGAGCATGTCAACATGGATGATATTGAGAAAGAAGTAGAGATCCTCAAGCAGATCGAACATCCATATATCACTAAATTGGTTGAAGCAGGCAATTGCCAACTCTCTTCCAGAGGAAGATCTAATGAAGTCTACTGCATAGCACTTGAGGTTGCTTCTGGTGGTGAATTATTTGACTTCATTTCAATGACTGGGGCCTTCTCAGAGGATGTAGCTAGGTACTTCTTCCATCAATTCCTTGATGCTCTTGAGTATTTGCACGAGAAAGGAATCAGTCACAGAGATTTAAAGACTGAAAATATCCTTCTTGACAAGAACTTTAACCTAAAAATTGCTGATTTTGGATATGCTTCTGAGAAGGGATCTAACCAGACCCAAGTCGGAACTCCGGATTATATGGCTCCTGAAATCCTGCAAGGAGAGAAATACAGCGGACAGATTGCAGATATTTTTGGAGCTGGGTTAATCCTTTTCATGATGCATGCTCAAAGCAAAGCCTTCCTCAAAGCTGAACAAAGCGACCCATACTATAAAAATATTGCTTCTAACAGACCAGATAAATTCTGGAAGGAGCATGTCAAGAGCAAGGGTGATGAACACTATTTCTCTGAAGAATTCAAGGACCTTATTACTGGTCTCTTCGCTTACAACCCTTTCCACAGATTAACCATCTCTGAGGTAAGAAGTCACGCATGGTTCAATGGATATTTGCCAACTTCTGATGAAATAAAAGAGGAATTCCGCAGAAGAAAAGTTGACCTTGAAGACGAACTCAAGAGACAAAAAGATGAAGATCCAACCCAGGCTGAGTTTGACACCGCACTTCTCGAAGGCAACTCTGTTCATAGAGGAATTGGAGATAGTGACGAAGAAACCAAGGAAATTTGTGAAAGAGAAGAGCAGGAGTATGATGAAGACTTCGAAAATTATCACAAATTCTTCTCGACTTCCTCTGTTGAAGATCTCTGGACCAACCTCTGAGCTTATGTTACTGGAATTACTTCCGAGTACAAATTCTCAGCCGATGAATACAGTATCTCTGCTAAAGTTATCAAAGAAGAGACGGAAGGAGAAGAGGACGCAAAGAAGGACTCAGAACCAATTGAATTCCTTGTCAATATTTTAAAGGTACCAGACCAAGAAAAGCATTGCATTGACGCAATTGTTATGAAGGGAAACAAATTCAACTTCACTGAACAATTCAGGGACCTCAAACAATTCTTTGGAGGTCACGCTAATGCTATAAGTACTTAAAAGTTAATCTCAAAATTTATCAAATCCACAGTTTCATTATCTTCTGAATTAAACGAAGAAATTTTATTATCTTTGCACTAATCGGACATATTATTGTCCTGTTAATTGTACAACCAATTTTGAACCGGTAGAATGGGGTTTTGGGGTTTTGGGGTTTTGGGGTTTTGGGGTTTTGGGGTTTTGGGG